CCGGGCCCCGGCGCGGCGCTGGGGGACCCTCTCCCCGCGGCCCCCGCGGCCCCGAGGGCTTCCCCCCCAGAAAGGGTCGCGCAAGGGGGTGGGTGCGGGGGGCGCTGGTCCCGCGTGACGGATTTCGCCCCCACCTTGCCAACGTCAGAACCACAGTTTTTGTTTTGTTTTTTAGAGACACAAAATACACTTGCCACGTCCTGTTTGGCAGGTGCAAACGTTTGGGGAAGAAATGGCGAGAAAATGCCGGCATTTTGCGTTGCGTGTTTTAATGGAGAAATAGTTCGCTAGCTTTATTTTTGCCTTCCCCGGATTATTTTCGGTTTTTGTTGTTTTTTTTTTCTTTGATACAGACGTATGGTTTTTAATTCCCTCCCGAATTCTGCTTTTTTCAACGTGGCCAAGGCTTAAGAGAATCGTATTTGCCGTGTACCTCATTAGCGGTTTTTTTCCCTGACATCCTATTTTTCTTCCTTTTTTAACAACAGTTGTAGCATTGTAAGAGGCCTCACCTGGTTCATGGATTCACTCAGCTATATTTATTAAATAAAATTAACTTATTAATATGTGCCAGGCGCCATCCCAGCTGCTGGGGACCCAGGGACAGCGCAGACATGTTAGCAGGAGTAAGCCTTGTGTTGTGTTGGGGACACACGCTAAGGACGACACTAAGGGGAGGCACGGGGTGAGGACAGTGGGGGGGGTTGCAACTCCACTTCTAGGCCAAAAGCGGGGGTGCGGAGGGGAAGGTGCCAGGGCTGGGGCATGCCGGGATTAATTGCAAATGGGGAGCCCTTGCCTGGAATGACAGTAGGTGAATGTAGGCAGGGATGTCAGAGGTGATGTCCTCACAGGTACGTGAAGCCGCCTGAGGCTGGATGCCGCTGGAAGGTATTGAGCAGGAGGGTGACTTCATGTGGCTTACGTTTCAAAGGGATAGCTGGGATCACTGCTTTGAGGCTATAAGGAAAGAAAAAGGGGAGTCAGAGACTGGGAGGTTGCGTCCGTTTCCCACTGCTACCGTAGCAAGTCACAGATTTACTAGTTGAAAACAACACTGATGATGGGTCTTATCCTCAGTGGATCAGAAATCTCACCAGGCTACAATTCAGGTGTCTTTCGTAGGGCCTTGTTCTGTCTGGGGCTGCCAGTGAACTTTCTGGGGCTCTGGACTCTTCCCTCACCCTCATGGCCAGTGACAGAGCCCTTTCGGACTCTCCTGTGTCCCTTTTAGAAGGACACCTGTGCTTATATCGGGTCCCCTGGCAATTCAGGCTCATCTCCATCTCAAGATTCTTTATATATATATATATATATATATATATATATATTTTTTTTTTTTTTTTTTTTTTTTTTTTTTTTGAGTTGGAGTCTCACTCCATGGCCCAGACTGGAGTGAGTGGTACACTCCTGGCCACCACAGCCTCGACTTGTTGGGCTCCGGCGATCCTTCAGCCTCAACCTTCCAAGTAGCTGGAACTACAGGCACGCTACCACGCCCGGCTAATTTTTTTGATTTATTGTAGAGATGAAGTCTCACCAAGTTGCCCAGGCGGGTCTCGAACCCGCGGGCTCAGGCAATCCACTCACCTCAGCCTCCCAAGCATGGGATTACAGGCTGAGCCACCGAGCCCGGCTGAAGATTCTTAATTTAATCATGCCTGCAGAATTTCTGTTCCTAAAGTAACACACTCGGGTTTTGGGGATCACCATATGGCCATCATTGGGAGTCCAGGTGAGAAAGAATGATGCCCTACTTCAGTAAGAATGGAGTTAGTGAACAGGGCAGCCCTGGCTGCACCTCACAGGTTGAGGTGACAGGGTTTACTGGTGGATCACATGCAGGTCGTGAGCGAATTGAGCTGAGAATTTTTTGTGTGTTCTTGTTTTTGAATCGGAGTCTCACTCACGCAGGCTGGAGGGCAGTGGCACAATCATGGCCACAGGAGCCTCGACCTGCTGGGCTCAGGCGATGCTTCTACCTCGGTCTTCCAAGTAGCTGGGACTACAGTCATGTGCCACCATGCCCGGCTAGTGTGTAAAATCTATTCATATATGGGCAACTGAAAAGATCATACAGCTTTCATAACGTTTACCTAAGTAAACACACAACGTAGATGTTTTTTCCACGTGATGGTAATTTTTAGAGAAGATTTATAATATCTCCTATGATGTTAACAGTGCTTCGGTATTTTTCTGGTTGCATAACAAATTGTGTTTTACTTATAAAAATAGAATTATCCACTTATGTAGGAGAAGAGAAGCAGCCAGGCATGGTGGCTTATGTCTGTGATCCCAGCACTTTAGGAGGCTGAGGCAGGAGGATCAGTTGAGGCCAGGAGTTCAAGACCAGCCTGGGCAGCGTAGTGAGCTCTTGGCTCTAAAAAAAGGAAAAACAATTAGCCAGGCGTGATGGTGCGTGCCTGTAGTTACAGCTACTCGGGAGGCAGCAGGATTGCTTGAGCCCAGGAGTTTGAGGCTGCCATGAGCTACGATCTCTGTACCACTCTCCAACCTGGGCAACAGAGGGAGACCCTGTCTCTTAAAAAAACAAAACAAAAAAACCAGAAGTGCTAACAATTTTGGGGAGCTGTTTCTGATAGCACTTCAGAAAGAATGTTGACAAAGCATCGACCAGGACCAGGTTGGGTGTATTCCCTCTCTCTCTTTTTTGCAGCTTCAAGTTGGAGAAAGGAAATTGTCTAGCAACATTATTGATTAGCCTGGAAAGCAAAGCACTGTGGTTTTTGTTTTGTTTTGTTTTTTGAGTCAGAGTCTCACTCTGTCACCCAGGCTGGAGGGCAGTGGCATAATCACAGCTCACCACAGCCTCTACCTGCTGGGCTCAGGTGATCCTTCTGCCTCAGCCTTCCAAATAGCTGGAACTACAGGCCTATGCCACCATGCCCAGCTAATTTTTTAATTTATTGTAGAGACAAGGTCTCCCCATGCTGCCCAGGCTGGTCTCGATCCTCCGGGCTCAGGCAGTCCTCTCGCCTCTGCCTCCCTACGTGCTGGGATGACAGGCGTGAGCTACCACGCCGTTAGCAATGTGTATTTAGTACTGGATCTCGCCTATTAAGCACGTCTTTCTCGGTAATTTACCTCAGGTGAGTTTAAGTAGGTCACAGATTGAATTTTACTGTCCAGTTTTTTAGGGCAGGGATATGCCAGGTAGCTGTGACCGCTGCTGTTTGAGTTAGTCTCGGTATGATGCAGTCCCTGGTAAGCAGTTTCCATCATGCCATCTCAGGGTTGAGGGGAACGGAAAGGTGCTTCATGTGCCCTGGGGCCTTTCAGATTGCTGAAACCTGGCTTTGAGTGAGAGGCTTGGTCACCGTGCCATCTATCCTGTGACTCTGCCCATCCAGGGGACTGCAGATGGCTACCTTTTTGCATTTGGCAGGAAACGGTGGACATCTATAGCGTTTGGGAATTATGAAATAATCGTAAATGCTGACAGAACTAAACTTTTAGTTGTTTTTATTTGTAAGTCTGAGCATATCTAAGTGTGACGACCGCTTCCTTATTGTAATGTGAGTTCCTGCCATAGTGATTGTATATAGAAAATAAAGGATTTTTCCATCAGCAGATCAGTGTTGTGGGTGACTTAGGTCATAAATCATAGACTCAGAAAATACAGTAGAGAGGGCTCGAGGAACGTTCACTTGTTGCTTAATGCCCTCAGTGTTGGTAAAATAACAATATTTCTGTGCAGCGCACATGCAGAGTATTCTGCAACCATTATGCTGTTTTCCGTAGCTGACCCGGTGAGGCGAAAGGTTGGCTTGAGCCCAGGGGTTCTAGGGTGTAGTGCACTATGAGCGCACCTGTGAGTTGCCACTGCACTCCAGCCTGGGCAACATAGCGAGATCCTACCTCTAAAACAGATGTGTTCTGTGTTGGGTTTTTGGTTGTCACAGTCCAGAAAGCACAGGAAGGTGCCCGGCATCCCTTTGGTCAGGATGCTTATTTGGACTTCCTATTAGAATTGTTTCTGGGCCGGGCTCAGTGGCTCAAGCCTGTAATCCCAGCGCTTTGGGAGGCCAAGGCGAGAGGATTGTCTGAGCCCGCGGGTTCGAGACCAGCCCGGGTGACTTGGCGAGCCCTCATCTCTACAATAAATCAAAAATCAGGCCGGGCTCGGTGGCTCAGCCTGTAATCCCAGTACTCTGGGAGGCCTACGTGAGTGGACTGCCTGAGCCCGCAGGTTTGAGATCCACCCAGGTAACTTGGCAAGACGTCATCTCTACAGTAAATCAAAAATTAGCCGGGCATGGCAGCACGCGCCTGTAGTTCCGGCTACTTGGAAGGCTGAGGCGGGAGGATCGCCTAATCCCAGCAGGTCGAGGCTGCGGTGGTCGAGAGCGTGCCACTGCACTCCAGTCTGGGCAACAGAATGAGACTCTGACTCAAAAAAAAATTAGCCAGGCGTGAGAGCGCGCCTCTAGTTCCGGTTACTTGGAAGGCTGAGGCAGAAGGATCGCCGGAGCCCAGCAGGTTGAGGCTGTGGCGAGCCATGATCATGCCACTGCACTCCAGCCTGAGCAACAGAGGGAGACTCCGACTAAAAAAAAAAAAAGTATTCTGACTGTGAGCTCTTGTTAGCCAGGGGTAAAGCCTGTTCATCCCAGGGAGGAGGAGACTGGGAAGAGAGGCAGAAGGCAGTGGAGGGATGCGTGTTCTTTCCAGGGGATTCTGCGTAGTCAATGACCCGTTTTCCCTTCTGCCCTGCCCTTTGCTACCTTGCCTTCTGGAAAGCAAAGGCCTTACGGAAAACGGAAGGAGATGTCTCCTGACCCTGCCCTTCCTTGGACATGAGTTGGACGGCTAGGAGGGAGGGATTTTCTTTCCTTTGCAGTGGAAAGCGTCTGGGCCATTTTCTGGCATTGTCTTTTCTTCCTCAAAAAGAAGCTGACTGAGAAGGCCACGTGACCGCCGCATCCAGCTTCTCCCTCTCCTGAGAAAAGACTGACAGTAGCATGAGCGTTTCTTTAAAAAGTCATGTCCCTTCTGTAGCCAAACATTTGATCTTTATGCCTCCTTCAAGTTTTTTTTTTTTTTTTTGGTTTTGGGTTTTTTTTTGAGTTGGAGTCTCACTCTGTTGCCCAGACTGGAGTGCAATGGCACCATCATGGCTCACTGCAGCCCCCACTTCCTGGGCTCAGGCGATCCCTCTACCTCAGCCTCCTGAGTAGCTAGAATCACAGGCATGTGCCACCCTGCCCAGCTACTCTACATTTTTTGTAGACACAAGCTCTCGTTATGTTGCCCGGGCTGATCTCGAATTCCCAGGCTCAGGCAGTCCTCCTACCTGGGCCTCCAAGGAACTGGGATTTCAGGCATGAGCCCATGCCTACCTGTTTCTCCTTTTTTGTATTTGCACCTGCTCCCTGCGTTTGTAGTGCTTAGGCCATCTAAACGTTACAGGAAAGAAGACGAAGTCTGGTTTCAGCACCCGACATGAAAGACTCTGTTCTCTTCACAGTGGTATTTCAGGAAGATGGGGAAGGGCTGCAAGGTCGTGGTGTGTGGACTGCTGTCCGTGGGGAAGACGGCCATTCTGGAGCAGCTGCTGTATGGGAACCACACTGTTGGTAAGGGCGTTTTCTCCAGGCTCTCTCTGGGTTCTGGGAGCCCCCGGGGTGTCCTGGGTCACACTGAGAGGGCTAATGGTGCACTGAGGGACCGTGAGCGCCGTGACAGCCACGGAGACCAGGAGCAGAAGCGGGGAGGGGAGAACAGGCTTGGCGTTCTTTGTG